CCGCCGTCGTGCGTACGCGCCCACGAGCAATACCGCTAGCCATGATAACCATGAGAAAATCAACTCATGGGTTTCCTTTTCTTTCCTATATGAGCATGGAGCTCCGCTAGGCGGCCATTCGGGCCGCCAGAGCTCCGCTATAAAGAGAAACAGCTATTTACTTAAGAATAACAGTTGTCTGATGACGAAAAATAAGCAAAAACACTCGCACACGCATAAAAGAACAAAATCAGCAAGATAGTAGCCAGGTAGAACGACAAATTAAAATAAGTACCATATAGTACAAAAAATATTCGTCTGCTTTCTACAGGTATCCTAAACATCTCATCTGTTATAAAAGCGAGCTATAATTAGTCTTCAGAAGAATAAGAGTAGCTCTCACCGATTAAAAATCAAACTAAAATCCATTGCTTGATTTTCGAGCAATGATTTTTGTTTTGCACTCGCTGAAATTTGTCTGACATAGCATAACGCAAAAAGGTTTGTAAACATGTCCATAGTGTTTTCCATAAGCTTTGCAACCTGCTTTGTATTGGTAGGGCAACAGTAAGAAGGAAACGTTGTCCAATTACAAGTATACAATTACAAAAAGTTGGCCTGCAATAAGAGACCGACGAGATCGTGCTTCAATTAGGGGAAAAGTAAGCGGGCGGAGAACCAATCACAATCGAGAATTTTGTTACAGATACGATCAACGCTAAAGAAAGCTCAAAATGGAATCGCTATTTATTTTTTTGTAAATTTTGCTCTATTTTGGCGAGCTTGATGAACGATTCTAATTGCAAACGACAGCCCCTGTTTATGTGGCCATACACTATAAGCTACTATAGGCTGAGAAATTTCTGTGTATGTGAATATCAAACGTTTTTCAGCGCTTACAACTGACTTACAATACAAATTTCGTCGATGAATTTATTTATTTCTGAAGCTATGTATTACAGACATGTCTGTCTGTGGTAAGGTTAGAAAGTTCCTTCACTCGAAATATTCCACAAGACAACTAGCCACGTCTTGTACATGCCCAGGCGTTCTAAGGGAGGCCGAGGAGGGGGTGGGGGAGGGGAAGAGGGGGAAACTAGATGCGCGAAGCGCGATTTTCTCCTCTCCTTCTCCACTGAATGCCTGGCACGCAGGCTAAGAGAAAAGAGGGAGCTCACTGTCAAGCTTAGCCCAAAGTCAATAGACAAATTCTTTGCATTTGCTATCATTTATTTCAAATAGCATTCGTTGTCAGTTAACTGCTGACACGTCATTCGAGCTGCAGGTATAATTAATCTTCACTAGTTTCTGTCATTTTCTTTTTTCTGTGCCATTTTAAAAGGTTCGAAAAATCACATAAATGCACGCAGCAACAACCAAAAACAACAACAAAAAAGACAAACAAACAAACAAACAAAAAAATAAATAAATATTGAAAATATATAAGCTAACTTGAAACTAGAAGCCTGAATTTAACATACAATTTAAATACGGCAGTTCTCATTTTGGAGTCAAAAGACCAAAAATGACCAATCACAACAAACAGTGACAATACAATGAACAAAGCTAATATACGTAAACCACTCATACAGTGTAGCAATTACGGATTATAGAACACAAACTCCGCAAAGGAACACAAAGTCTCACAGACTTCAAGGCAAAGAAAACCAGGTTTGTGTTGGACCGCTGTGAACCCAGCGCGGAGAAGTACGAAAGGTGCTTTCGGCTACTTGATCTTTGTTCGGGACTCCAACTCAAGCGTTAAATTCTCGTGGACCTCCACTTAACAAACTAAGTTAATTCCTAGAGAATCACAGGATGGCAAAATGATCTGCTGTCGCTCTTAGTAATTTCAGTGTTCCTATCAAGAGATGATCTTTCCAACTCATCACCGCAGTTCCTCCCGCACTGTTGTTAACTTAAGGCCGCTTTGGATTCAACGTATTCCATCGCCTTAGTCTTGACATTTTCTACACTAAAAGCATCGCCATACTTCCGTTCAAAGTCCAGGTACCGTTTGAAGAAAAGCTTCATCTTTTTGGAAGACAGATTGATGTGAATCACTCTCTCGAATATTTGCCTGAAATTAAAACAAGAAAAACAATTATTCAGTACTTCTGAGAACTGAAAGATAACTTAAGAAATGTTTTAAAAGGCTCATGACTAGCAGTATTGTCTACGAACGCAATCTGCCGTGAAGGGCCTGGGGAGAGCTGGAGTGTACATACGGGTACTCTTCGCCCCCCTGCCGCTCGCTTTTCACAACAAGTTTTTAAGAAAGAAGACCAAACTGTTTTGCAGTCTAGTGATTTTCATTCGCGATGTAATGGAAATAAAGTGTAACAAGAGGCCACCTTGGGTGCGCGAGGTTATGTTCATCTCGTTACTGATGCGGTTACATCTGAACACTAGAACCTACATAGATATTCTGAGTTTGTGCCAGGAACGTTGTGGATGAAACGGTAATACTTAGATTGCCAGTAAAAATTGTCTAATGAGAAGGCTTCACGTTGAACAACTGGCCGCCTCACAATGTCAAAAAAAGGCTCAATTACAGACACTTAATAAAGTGAGCCCCGGCAAATGCTCTTAAAATGCTCTTAAGACTTTCCCATTTTTACTAACCAGTCGAAAACTAGCGCGAGCGCAGGGTTGAAATTAAAAAGTTTACTTAGCAACACTGAAGCCTTAAGAAAAATCGCAAGATCATTCATGGTCGGAATCAACTGATCCCCGGTTTGTTTTCCCACCTGTATTGCAGAGTTTTTCATCCGAACTGAGAGCACTAACCTGAACGAATAAGATTCTTCCTTACCTAACAAGCTCGACGTCTCCTTGTTTGATCATCATATCCAGATACACTGACCACAGATCGCTTCTCTTGGGGTAGTTAGTCAGAATGCTTTCGAACATCGTCTGCCCTCGCTGTGGCTCGCCATATCTGAATTCGTGCAGAGCGAACTGGACTATTGTTTCAACATCTGCCAGGGAGAGATGAAAACAAATTTAAAAAAAGAAGAGGAGACTACGAAGTAACTGTACAGAGATCTTACTGTTGGACAGCTGACTAACAGACAGGTAATACCTGATTTTCTAACCCAGTTCTTTAATTTCGCCACATACATTCCCATCTAAAGGTAAAGTCTGCATACAAGCCAAGTGGCTCATCAGGCCGGAGCGTATCGGTTTCTGTAGCATGAAGTGACTATAATAGTATTTCTACTGCCTCCTGGATGGAATGCTAGACCATCCCAAGGTTACCCCCCAGAATTAAATTCGCCGGTATGCATTTATACACCAGAGTGGAGAGAGGTACTATGAGAGTAGAGTGTCTTGCCCAAGAACACAACACAATGTCCGCGGCCAGGGCTCGAACCCGGACCGCTCGCTCCGGAGTTGAGAGTACTAACCATGACCACACCGCGCTCCCAGAAATTCCCATCTAAACAAGACTCTAAATAAGTTAAAGTCAATTTTTTTCTAATTTTTCCTCTCATTAGTTTGGGCTTTCATCGCCATTTGACAGCTACACCTAAGAATGTTGCTAGTTCCATCATATTTTTCATTTCGTGGTTTACACTGACAATTTGTGAACGAAATAACATGACTCTTCCACGACTTATATCCCAAGCGTTTGTAAATCTTTGATCGAAAAAAAAAAGTTTCAATTTTCAAACTAATTGATTTGTACAAACAAACGTAAAACTATGATGAAAGAAACTTGAACTGTGTTAACCTGCTCGAGGCCGATAAGTAAACTAGATTGGTTCTTCAAAAAGATGTCCCCCTTTAAGTACGCAATGCTCCATTATAGACAACTGTTCCATACTATAACTCCCTGGTAAGGTAGCGTCTGCATTCGAGCCTATTAGGCCTACAAGCCGACGCTTATTTATCGCCGGTTTCTATAGCATGAAACGTCTACTGCCCCGCGGGTGGGATGCAAGACCATCGTAAAGGTACCCAGCATTTAACACACCGGTGACAATTTATACACTTGAGAGATACCGTGAGGTAAACTTTGTGAGAGTAATGCGTCTTACTAAAGAGCACAATATAGTAAGCCCTGCTAGGACTAGAACCCAGATCGCTTGATCCACAGTCTAGCGCACAAGCCGGTAGACTACCGCGCCTCCCTCTAAAGATTTTTCTTGGTCACATGCTCCAATCAACAATCACTCACGTTTCCTCTTTGGGAGACTCTTTAGACTCCTTTGCAGTAATTTTCTGCCCAGGTCAAGCTTTCCCTGCTTCATGTAGAACGCTCCAAAACCGACCCAGACCTTTTTGCTTTGACTGAATCGCTTGCTCATAGTTTGGTATAACTGCTCGGCCAACTGAAAGAAAAGGAAACAGTGTCCACAATAATAAGTCTCGCTTATACACGTACGGACATACGACTCTTCAATCAATCTAAATAACGTCTGAACAACGTCTTGTACACATCTACCGAAATAACATCATACTGTAGCTATTAGTGGAAACTGTGTTGTTATATGCCAACTTCCATATCATCACCTTGCGTCTGTCTCATCCTTACCTCTAATTTGTCCGTTCTTGAGTAAATACCGATAAGTTGAAAGAAGACCTTTTTGGGCTCATTCTGTTGGAGGGCTCGCTCAAACACCTTCACAAGGGACTCTTGAGTACCGTACAAGTTTTCTAGGTTCATCAGGGCCACCCACACGTTCAGCTTTTCTTGCTCTTCCCTGTGAATGAACCAAAGACACAAAATGAGTCCCACGGACAAAAGTAGGCTGTAGGACTGATCCATAGGAAAAAGGAATATTTTAAAATTATACTATTAGTTAGGTTATTAATAGTTGGAATCGCTATGTTGAATGATGATAGTTGTGTGTTCGATCCATTTCTCATCTTTCCCTCCCCTTCCCATCTGATTTGCCTTGTGAAACACTTGTTCTGCTACAATGTATATGAGAGCGAGCGTCGGCGGACTGTCCAAGAATCAGATTAGCTTGTTGAAAAATGCGTCTTGCTGCTTCGTGGATTTGTCTCCTCATTAGAAAAGACAAATACGACCCTCTTCGCCAGTATTAACTTTAAAAAATAAAAAGCACTCGAAAGTGTGTTTCAGGGAGTCTTTGGTAAACAGGTTCCACTGTAATGTATACAAATGTATACATGAGGTATCCCTCGACCATGACGTGGTGGACATACCGTAATGTGAAATAAAAGCTCTAAAGATATAGAGTCATGAATTACCTGAATGATATTGTCTTGAGGGCTCTCTCAGCCACTGCCCGTGCCTTGTCGATGTCTGTGGTATGAAGGTGGAACGCCATGTACTGTAACCACACCACTGAGTTGTTGGGGGATGACAAGACGACACGATCAAAGTCTTCAGCAGTCTCCGGTACACGATCCTGATCTAAAAGGGACTGTTCCGTCTGCAGAGATACAAAAAGAATTATTTAATTTACTGCAAGCTTTCGGCTTAACCTAGCCCACACTACTGGAGCTTAGCGCGGTGAAGCAGCTAGGAATATTACTACACTCTCCTGGGTAGGGTACTAGTCTATCGACACGTCATACCTCCCCTCCCCTCCCCACGCCAAGACCTTGTCGGGTTGCCGAAAAGGCTGGTTTTACTTGCGCATAAGCACAAGCATAAGCCGACATACGTACACGCAGTAAGAACTTGATAATTAACGCCTTTGGTTAGGAAAAATTGAGTAACCGCTAAAAATGAAGTCCAACGTGTTTACCATTTAGTCAGGAGCTAAAACTGTACCAAACAGTAAATGAGACAAATTTGCAAGAAAAAAGGCTGCACCTGGCCAACGTCCCATACCGTCAGAGCTTACGCCGGTTTCCGTAGCATTATGAGACTAGGAGGTTTTTTTCTCTGCTAGTCTATCGCAGGGTTATCCCCAGCATTAAATTCGCCGGCACCCATTTACACGTACACACCTAGGCCCTATAAGTGTATAGTGTATTGCCCAAGAACACAACACAACAACCTCTGCCAGGTCTCGAGCTCAGACCATATGCAGTCCACTTAACTAACCATCGGGCCATTTTATTTCCACGAATTTGAGAGGAGAACTCCAATTCCACTTAAATCAGAAGTCCGATTCTCGTAATTATTATTAATGTTGAATTCAAAGTTATTTGATTCTTTATTAGACTTTTCTCAAGCTACAGAATTACCTTGTATAGGAAATCTTCTTCGGCTTTCTTGGCTGCCCTCTTCTGCCTCTTGCTCCTCTTACGTGCAACCTGCAGGTGTGGAGAAGACAAAAGAGTGTAACACCTTCCTATGGGGAGGGGAGAGCGGGTTAGGAAAGAAGCAGAGGAAGCCCTTTCTATCACGCTTTCATTCCTTTTTTCCTCTTTCATTTGAAGAGCCTGATACTCAGGCTAATTTAGACTCACTGACCTCACTGAAACCTCTTTTTGCATTGGTTATTGATAATCTGCACCAGGGCTAGGGACAGTGTTCTTTATCTATTGTCTCGTTTATTTAGTTATAAAGAACGTTGCAAATGGAGCAGGTTGTCCCCGTAAAAAGAGAATTCATCACACATCTCAACAAGCCTAGTACTCTGTTTATTGCAATGCACCAATTAAATTCCCAAAAAAGCATTTGCCAAAAATTCGTAGGGTCACCTTAACTTTGCAGATAAATGATGCCGAGGAAAAAATAGATATGAAAGATACACAGAGTGAAACAAAAAAGGCTTGATCTTTACTTCGGCTCGGTTGAAAAGACAAGACTTTTTCTTTATGGTCAGAAAGTGTTGCACGTTTTTCACAAAGTATCTACAGACCTCAGAGAGAAAATGAAAACCTACAGACAGGTAACACATAACTTCATTGCACGCTCAATCAAAAGCGCAATTCCCTGACTGTACACACATTACCTGTTCGCTAACTTCCGTTTCACTGTCGCTGCTTTCATCGTCATTTTCATGCTCTCTCTTGTTGTTCTGTGTCTTCTCTCCAATATTTCCCTCCTCACTCCAGTCAAATCCACTGGAAAGCTACGAGGATGATGTGCGCATTATAAAGGAGTTTGTGAACATTGCAAGTGCTTAAACCTTGATATCCAAATCTAAAAATACCACTTCTCCCAACTTATTTTTGAGTATTTGTTATAAGGTCACTTCTGAGAATTTCATTTCGACAGAAAGCTAATCAGTGGCCTCGTCGTGTAAAGCTCAACAAATATTCCACAGACCATGACATAAACAGGCTATGGTCTTTCGTCCACATGTATATGATTTAAAACGTTTCAAAGCTAAGATTTTTCATAACGATTGTACACTTATTTGTATGCACAATACAAAGGCAGGCTTATGGTAACGACCCAAAATGAAAACGCACATTTTTTTCAGTTCGACAATGATTATACAAAGGAATTATTCACGCACTCTCGCAGCCCTTCCGTAGAGGGTAGTCAATCCAGCCATTATACATCATGTGGAAACCGTCCTCTATACTACCACGACTAGTGTTAGTAATAGTTTGAAACACGATAACAACTTGAAGTGACGTAACAAAAAAAAAAAAAAACTTGAAGTGACGCCCATTGAATCTTCAGCTTATTCGATGAAAGCATACTGCAGTGAAATAGAAAACCTTACCTGTAATCTTGGCACTCCATTTGGTTGGTGCTTATTGCTGTCATGTTCCTTGAATATTGAAATATAAGCAACATTTAAATCATGGAATAACACGCTATTTTCCGAGAAGTCAATCCTAATTTTGCAACCTGGTCTACTGACATCTGAGCTAAAGTAGCGTAGTGGATCTTTCATGTACCAATTGTGGTATGTATTGGCCTGCGAATTACGTGCAAGAAGGATAATAGGTTTAAGTGTAACTACTTCTCCCCATCAACTCTGAAAATCTCCTAAGCTATATGCTTTTTGAGTGTTTCGTGACAAAATAAAACGGAAACTGCCATGGGAAATTACTAAAAAAAAGTTTGCCTTACACCAGTTGATAAATCACGTCTTTCTGGTTTACACCAAGGGAGAAGTTGCAAGCATACACGTGTCTTAAAACCGTGCGAGTGTTTCAGCGCACGGGAAATGCTTGCAACACATGTTACCAGAGAAGCTCAGCCCATCATGAATATCAAATCCAAGAAAATCTTAGTAGTCAGTGCTCATGCACAAAGCAACTGTTTTTTTCTGTAGTACAGCAGAAAACGACTCGTGTTTGGAACCATTTTATCGCCCCAAAATAACAGCGTCCAATGGAGAAACCACGACACTCGAAAGTAGCCTTCTCCAGGCCATGAATACTAAATCAGAACAGCTTTGCAACTTGATAAAGTTCTGGTGCGATAGGGGTTTCGGGTTCAGCGCCATTACGTTAAGAGAATCTACGCTTTCTGACCTCTTCATTCGAACTGCTTTCGACTTCTTCGTCTTCTTCCTCACTTTCACCTCCATGACTATCCTCCTGATCAGAGTCTGAAAGACATACATTAGCAAAATTGAATCCTTACATTAACGAGCACAATCGCTGGTTACTTTCAGTCGTTAGAACTGCGTTACACACGAGCACTACATCTTCATTCAATTTGAACTTTGGACCCGACTGACTCCGCCCCAGCCGCCTCTCGCCACCATCCTTCTTCCAGTCAATCCTCTCTTGTCTTACAATTTCCTCATGAGAGAAGGATAAGACCTTTGACAAGCACTTTTAGTTCAGGCTTCTTTTTCCGTGAATAAGGTTTGCCCAAAAATTATTAGAAATATGACAAAGCTGCGTTATCTACCTGTCTTGAGTCTCTTCAATATTTCTTCTGCCTCGTCGTCTGATTCGTCCTTTGTTTCACTATCCTTTGCTTTCTTTCGCTTTCTTTTCTGTTCTTTCCTTTCCTTGTCATTCTTCTCTTTTTCTTCTAACCGCTTTGGCTTTGGAGCGGGGTCCGGTCCCCCAACGTCTGTCCCTTTTAAGGACAATTCCACGTGATTTTTGGTTGGGTCAATACTAAATCAAACAGGGTTAAAAGCCGAAGTTATGAGGTTATCCACTTCAAGCGCAAATCTGGCCAGTCACAGCAATCGTAAACAACACAATGAACCAATGACGACTTACTAGTATTAAGTACACCCGACCCGGTCCAAGAACCGGAAAACGTACGTTTTTCTTTCGTTCCAAACAATTATTTGACAGACCAATTTGTTTGTAACGGAATGGTCCAAATAGCGTGGCCTAGTCCCTTTTGAATAAGTTTATAGATTAAGTTCCAAAGAGTTTACCTTAACACTTTGCCTTTGACTAGCTTTCCCTGAGGAAATAGAGGTTTAAACTGCTTCACATAATATTGCGAAAGGTTCTTTATCTGTACCCTAGCGACAATGTGATGTGCGAGGCTGTCAATAGATAAAACATATGACTGTTAGAACACAATGTCCCGTTATACTTTACTGACGTCCCCGAACCTTCATCACTGTAATGTGCAGTCTAGCACAGAAAGCCTGGCGTCCTCCTCCTCCCTTTCGCGCGCAATGAACAAGCAGCCCAATGTCCCCTTTACGCCATCAAATATAATTTTGGGGGTCACATCTTCCAGTTCTCACAAGCAGGAAGAATTGAGCGCAGGATAAAGAAATGTCTCATCACCCAGAGTATAGACGGTCTTAAATGACGACATTCTCATTTAATACCTGACAAAAACACCACAGTCAGAGCAGCTCTTTACATAGCCTCGGACTATGTCTCCTTCTTTCAAGTCTTTCAAGCTTTTGATCTCGCGATCCACGTTACTGGTTTCTGTAACTGTTAAAGAAAGCAAGAGAAGAGTGCACAGTTCAGTGTTATTGTCATACTATAGTATCTCTTGCCATATTCCGCTTTAGCCAACTGATTCACACTGTTACTGGCTTTTCTCAGAAGAACAAAGTTGCATAATCATTCGCCAAACCATAAAGTAGTGGGGGGGGATCTCGAGGAGGAGACGTGTTTGTTTAACGTTTACAAAGAAAACGTAAAAACGATTTCGCCCCAAAACATGGTGCTGCAATATGTTCATTGAAAAGACACCGCAGTGTTGTGGCGCGAAAATGGCCTAAGCCGTTCTTAATAAACTTCATAGGAAGGTGTTCATGGCGTTTAACCCACAGTTGAGGATTGGTCATCGGAGAAAGAACGCATTTTATTAACTGATGGCTGAGATTTGTCAATTTTAAATTTATGCTAAAACTAAATTTAAGGCAAAGATTTTAACTGACAACTGAGAAATCACAGAAATATGAGATTACAGCACCTTTATCCAGACCCTCTCATGAAAACAAATCATTCGGAACACGATCTTAACGCGACATTGACAGAGCATATGAGCGGGACCGGGACAAAAATATAGTTCGTATAGTATGATCGTCCAGGTGAGGATAGTTCCGAAAAGAACTGTTGTTGGTGACTGACGTTTTGACAACCTGAGCGGAAGTCATCTTCAGAGTCAGGGAAGATGACTTCCGCTTAGGTTATCGAAACGTCAGTCACCAACAGCAGTTAGTTTCACAACTACCCTCACCGAGACGATCACACTATACGAACTACTGATACTCTGGGTTCAAACCATTCACTATGTTACAAAAATATATTTACCTTCCTCATTAGCTGTTGACACTGCTTCGGTCCTGCAAGAATGAAAGATAAACAGTGAATATCTTTCTAATAACATTTAACTGTATAACATTGACACTCGCCTACAAAAGGCAGGGGAAAAGCAAGGTTTTTTCAAGCACTGACAAGCAAGGTCGGACGGAAATCAGAAGCCGAGTGATCATGAGGGCAACTGTTAAGACCATGAATTCAATGCAAAACAGTCATAACTTGCTAATTGAGGAACAACTTGGTAAGTCTAACTGAACACTGAGGACATGTTGAGCAAAGCAACAGAAGTAAATAACCGGTATACAATGGAGACAGTGATAGTTTAGCAACTATGAGGTAAATGTGCGAAGAATAAGTTCCTTCAACGACTAACAATGACTACTCAAGTTTACGGACAATTTCACGGTTAGGTGAAACACTGAACAATCCACCTCACCACAAAATCATCCGTAACAGGTGTTATGCCTTTTGTAGGTAAAATAGTTCTCACCTTGAAGGTCTAAGTGACAGATCAAAGTGGTCTTTTTCCTTTGCTGACAAAACGAAGCACCTGCGAATTGATGAAACATATTGAAATGTAATCCAAAGCATAGCACGGCGTGCCTCTAAACATGTCGTCTAACCTTTTTGGGGTCCTATTTCGTACCACTCCCTCTCGTCCAAGGGATGGGATAAAGCAGGAGTCTGGAATGAAGTAGCATCATTTTGGATTCCAAGCTTTCAAAGGCCATCAAACATAAGTTTGTTCCAGAGGCTTTTAACCCTTTAACGCCCAAGTAGCCATATACAGCCACTTAATGGTCGTGCTCTTTGTACCACTTGTGACGTCTCAATTTAAATGTCGTCAGATATTATTGATAAGCAGATGGCAGAGCTAGGACAGGCCTTTCCGCACAATGGTCAGGTTTAGATATTGACGACATTCCGACGTCGCAAATCGTAAAACAACGTAATCAGTTTTGGTGCAAAAACGGTGGTAGAATGGTCCACTATGCCTATGATTGATCAAGGTCCATTTCTAGGCTTCGCCCGTAATTAACATCCAACTTTTCACGGCAGCCAGAGAGAACATGCAACGCAAAAGGTAGCCAGAGTAAACGGGTCGAGAAAAAAAAAGAAAGGAAAGGGGCAACAAACAAAATTGAGAACGGGTAATGGCAAAAAAA